TAAAAATAAGGGAGACCAAATGATAAGTCAGCAAAGTATTGTGGTTGTAGTTACATTAAGGGATAGTTTGTCAACAGTAGTCGTACTGTCTTGTAAAATGGTATGTAGTACGTTTGGTAAGCCTCAAGATATTCTGATCGGTTCTTATGCTCGGCATTCCGTCAAAACGTGCTTAATAGTTAGTGAAGTTCCACTAATTTGATATTTAGGAGAAGATTCGCGGGCCATCAGGTATCCATAGGTAACGCGTGTCTCACCTATACGCAGGCGCCTCCTCTCTGTGTTTATTTCTGTTCGACGTTGACAAGGAGAAAATGTCACTTTTACTTTCCCTTGATTTATTTTCAGTAACACCTGACCACACTTGTTCCCATTTCAACCTAATTTTAGTTTTAATTATGGAAATAAAATTCTAAACAGGAATTCCCCCCTAAGCAACCATTCCTAGAAGATTTTTGTTAATTAACCATTTTTCCGAAATACACCGACATGTTATTTCCGTATGCAGTACAGTACATTTTGGATGATATATTAGATGTGAAGATCTTTTTTAAACTGAGTAATGCTAATAAAGAATCAATTCTTTGTTGTGGAATGGATAACATTTAGGGTTTTGCAAATGGCAACTGTTATAATTGCTAAATATTGGTGACAGTGAGAATAAATACTGTCGTTCATTGCACATAATCGCTGCTCTTACACCTGCGTATCTCTTGGACCCGTCAGTGTAAATGAAGTCAAAAACCCCTAGTCTGTCTTGTACTTTGTGAAATTCATGTTTACAGGATGATCCTGTTTTTATCTGGCATAAAAATCACCCTTCCACAAGTAATTCGACCATCCGTATAATTCTTCCTCCTAACTACATTTCCCCGAAATTCATAGTTTTCTGTAGATTTTAGATTTGTTTCTTGTAGGCAGGCTACCGAACAGTTATATTTACTAAGCAAAAATTTCAATTCATCTATACAGTGTTTAAGACCAGTTAGATTCCACTGTAGTATATTCATCTGAGAAAATATGTTCTATCTATACTGTCTGCCAATGAGACTGAGCAAGGAAAAATTAAGATAATGCTTATTGAACATAAGTAAGTAAGGTCATGAAGAAAAAAAACCGATACCAGTTAATATTATGTATATATTGATAAAACAAAATAAATCCACAATACATCAAATAAAAAAAAAGGTATTAAAAGGAAGAATTATGAATATTATAGTGTATAAATTACAATACTAATTTTATATATACATAAAAAAAATCTGAATAAATCAGTTCCGAACCACGAACCTTCACTTTAGAAATCTGGCACCAACAACACTAGACCATTCAAGTCAAATAACACATAAGATGATGAAATAATGCCCAACTTGTACATCTCGATTTCAACGTCCTATTTCTTTTATGAGGAAAATCGATGGTTTTTATTCCTCACCTCCAAACTATTGTCCGAGGGGGTCAGAAATGCAAACAAAAGTGTAGCACCCACCTCGAAATTGTTCCAGCTAAAAGAAATAGATAACATTCAGCGTGGCTGATCGTATTTCTTCCATAACTTCCAGTAGTGCAGCTGGACGATTGTCCTCTGGGATAAACAATGTTCCAAGACTCCCTGGTCTAGAAGTCAACGAGAGGAAAACTAAGTATATGAAAGTTGGTGGTGAGGTGGATCCGAACTCTCCATTTGAGGTAGGTTCTTTTAAGTTTGAGAGAGTAAAAAGTTTTATATACCTTGGGTCTGAAATTAATAGCAAAAATGACATGGCTCAAGAAATACAGAGAAGGATCACGGCTGCCAACAGATGTGTCTTTGGACTTGGCCGACACTTGAGAAGTAGGTATCTCTCAAAGAAGACCAAGCTGATTCTATACAAGACCCTTGTAAGGCCTGTTTTGACATATGGCTCAGAGGCTTGGACGATGACGAAAAGTGATGAGATGAAGCTGTGTGTGTTAGAGCGTGGAGTCCTCAGAAAGATTTATGGTCCAGTAAAGGAGGGTGATGTCTGCAGAAGAAGAAAAAATAGGGAGCTCAGTTCTCTCTACACAGACACCGACGTAGTCACGAATATTAAACTTGCCAACTAAGGTGGGCAGGGCATGTGGCCAGAATGAGTACCGTTGAAATACCCAAGAAGATAATGATGGAGGAGATGCACATCGCAAGACGGGTAGGAAGGCCGAGGACGAGGTGGTTGGACAACGTGGCCTATGATGCGAGAACCCTGCTTGGCGTACGGAACTGGAGAGCTGCAGCAGAAGACACAGCCAACTGGCGGAGGCTCTTGGAGGAGGCCCAGTCTTGGTAACAGGATGTTGCACCACATTTGATGATGAAGACTCCCAGTAAATAATGGATGGAGAAATCTTGGATTTGCTGAAAACTAAAGTCAATCGGTGAGCAGACGGCATAAAACTATACACAATAGCTGGCGGCCATATTGTTGATTGTTTCATGGCATTAGTAATGTTCCTAGGATAAGCAATGTTCCCCGGGACAAAGGATATTCTCTGAGATAAGTAATGTTCCCTGGAAAAACGATGGATGAACAGAGGCCAGAAAACTATACACAACAGCCGGCTACTATACCTTGTTTTCTGGAGGGGCCATGTGACCCACCACGAGAGCTGAGCTGTGTCGGAAGTGGCCGAAATTTTCCTCATTTATTACACCAAATATTTTATTATGAAATAAGAAATGCTTTTCAATACATAGCAAAAAAGAAATTAAATAAACTAAAACTTACAATTTGCTGGTCGTAACATTTCTCACACCATTTTTTTTTTATAAAAATATTCAATCAGGTCATACCTCGGAAGGAGGTAGCAAGATAGATAGCTGCCGAACTGGTCACACATACTCCCCTGTAGGGATTTTAACTTTTTTTTACTAACCTAACAACAATATAAAAAACACTATCACTTTCCTTGGATACGTGTCAACAATTATTGCGCCTTGCCTACAACAAGAAGGCATTCAAAGTTATCTGATTAGTACCAAAGTATCCGTAGTGACATTTTTAGCATGTGATCTCCATTTATTACGCCGCTGTAAACTATTCAAGTACTCTAATCGCTATCGCTTCCATACGTCCTGAATTGATCTTTTCAAAAACTGACGACAAGTCAATCAGTTCATTAGAACGTCGGTGAGATTCAATTCATGTGTGAAAATTATAGGGCCACCAGTAAGGAAATGACCTCGTGTTAGAGCATCGGTGTCATCCAAGGATGTGAAAAGTGCGCACAATGGCCTGGCATTTAATATTCTTCTAATGTTATAATGGTATATAAGGTGTCTTCATTGGCTTGACCCCTGCCTCCTACAGACCTCCAAAGTGAGGAGTTGATGGAGGGGTAAAGTTCCATTCCTCCACTCTTGAGTTCCTGGTATTCGGAAATTATTTCATAACTCCTTTAGTCTTCTATCGGCTCCTACGAAGTTAATTGCGTTATCTGAGAAAATGCGAGTAGGTACTTCTCTTCGTGCCACAAATCTCTCTAAGCAGGCTACGAAGGCATCGGTAATAAATTCAAACAGTAGATGCTTTAGTGCCCATGCAAACATACAAGCATACATAGGTTTTATTTTTATGTGCATTTTTTCCGGTAGATTCCTTAATGATAAAAGGCCCGACAAAGTCCACTCCTAAAATGAGGAACGCCCGACCTTGCTCAAAACGAGAAGCTGGTAATGTACTCATAAATGGTTTGAAATTAGTTAAGTGCAACCGATGAAATGTAGCACATTGATGTATTCTTGACCATCTTCCTTGTCGTGGGTATCCAGTACTGTCTTCTAATTAGCGAATGAAGTGATTGATGTCCAGCGTGTAGACAATATTTATGAAAATGATCCACCAGTTTTGTTATAAAATGAGAATTGGGATGTAAGATAATGGGATAATTAGCCTCATAAGTCAAGGGACTGTTCAACAAACGCCTGCCCATGCTCAGAACCCCATGCGAATCCAAAAGATGATAATTGGGTCTTGTCGCCTTCTCCATTGGCGATTAGAAGAAGTTCCTTATGGTAGAAGTGATTTTGAGATAGTTTTATGCAGGAATCGATTTCATTGTGCATCTCTTTAAGCTGAAGATGCCCGTCCTTCGTACTGAATTCTTTTTGGACTTGTTCATGAGTTTCAAAATGTAGGCAGTTATTCTTTGAAATTTCAAAAAGAGAGAGACGTCTTTTAATCATTCATCCTCTGCGGTGCTGACAGGATATGTATGGCACAAAAGTGTGGAATCTGCTTTAATTTCAGGTAACCATCATTTCTATAATCTTTGCAGACGATTCATCAGGCGTTGCAAATTCAATTGGTGTTTCTCTCAAGTCTTCTGGTTTAAATTGGATTAGCCTTGTAGAATTGATGGCCCATTTCTTCAATTCAAAACCACCCCGAGCTAAAAGATCCTGTAGTTTCTTTATAAAATCTTAAGGCTTCTTCAGTAGTATTGGCTCCAGTCAAAATATGTCATCCATGTATAGGTTATTCTGCAACGTACTAACGGTTAGGGGAGGAGCTCATCCTTCATCATTAATTGATTGCTTAAGTACTCGTAACGTTAAATAGGAAGAACATGACATACCAAAGCTTAACCTGGTTACTTAGTATTCTTGAGCCTTCTCTGACGGAGTGAACCGATGAAATACATCCTGCTATATGCTATCATCCTTGTAAAATTTGTAAACACATTTTTCAAAATATTCATTGCAATTAGAAATTTCCTAAAGCTTAGAACAACATTTTTAATGTCTGCCATATACTATACACAACGGCTGGCGGTTACACTGTCCTGTTTTCTAGAGCGGTCATGTGACCCACGACGAGAACCGAACTGTGCCGGAAGTAGCTGAGATTTACGGCGTTTATTACACCAAATATTTATTGATATAATTACAAAAAAACAAAAAAACAATGCTTTTGTATATACAAATGTATACAATGCTTATGTAATACAAAAAAAAAAAAAAATTAAAACTTAAATTTTCTGGCCGCTATATATATATATTTATAAACTAAAATATAATCGTAATGTCATAATAAGTTAAAGAGAAAGAAAGACCATCGATCGAAATGGCAACCTATAGATTATTGGCTATAGGTATTGTAGGTCGTTGCCCTATAGGTGTATGGTTTTCGCCCTATTCATCTTCACCGCTCATATAATACTTGAGGGCCGTGTTAGCTGCCGCTTGGACCACCTCAGCCTTGCACGGGTTGACGCCCCAAAACGATCCTGGACAGCCCAGCAGCTCGAAGCACGAGTACCTGCAAGGTAACGATAATATATTGATACAGCAGATATTATATATATATTTGTTATAATTTATTATATTATGATCTTATTATTAAAACTACAATTTAGATTAATTAATTAAGACTAAAATATAACTTGTTGCCTTGAGGGAATAATTTGAATTATGATAATAAACCAAAACATGTGTACAGATTACAATATAATCCTTGCCAATAAAGGTTTCATTTCGCTTATTTTTTTAAAAGATGCAGGGAGTTTAGTAACCTTTCAAATAATGATGGTTGAATAATATACAACGTATCTGAACATAAGATACACTTTTGAATAATGGTTTATTACAAAGAAAATGAGGTGCTGAACATATCCCTCGGTTAAAATATACTAGTCCGATTTTTAGTTTCTGAGTTATTTTAATCCCAATGTCAGTACACTTCAATTAGTCGACTAGAGCCGACTTTGCCCGAATGAATGTTACAAATAAGGGTCTGACGCCTCAGTCTCATTCATTCCTCATAAAAAAAGTGCAAAACACACCTAAAGGAGTTTTTCCTTAAAAAAACTCATCGAAATCGAACAATTTTTTAGCAAAGATAAAACAAATCGTAATTATTATTATGAATGTAGAAATGTGATACAACTGAGCAAAAGAAAATTATTACATCTGTTCGATCAAGGTAATTTGGTGTGAGCCAAATTTTACCCAATGATCTGTAAGTGAATTATGTTGCGCTGGTGATTGTGAAAATATATGTGAACTGTATGAGGTCGGATCACTGAAATTTGATACTTGATTAAATTAAACAAAATGTTGAGGAAATGATTATATTGCATACAATTTAATAATATGAAATTTGTGCCTTTTTACAAGTTTGTGGTTCTTTACAGATTAATTACATATTGCTGATTGTGAAATTATAATTTTTAGTTTGATATTGTCATGTTAGAAGTGATTATTGCTTGATTGTCAATTTGGACTCACTTGCTGTCTGTTATTGAGCTTCATGGTTTTGGCCACCTCTACTTCCTCCCCATACTTAATCCACCAGGCTGTTCTCTTAAAGTTTAGCAACTCATATTTTCTTGCTATTTCTTAAGAGAGTACCAAATGAACAGACAGGAATGGTTTGCAGCAAGATGGTGGCCATAAAATGGTGGTGGAGTTCTGACTGTATAGAATTGTTATTTTTGTGTTTCACGGGTTGATCCCTGAACAACATCTATCTCATAATAAACTGCACTAATTTATCTATATTCTATTGTCCTTTGTTCAGTAACCAAAATACTACAAGAATTTTTTGCACGGGTAAAGGTACTATTTCGCTGGCGCGGTCCACGACAGCGACTGCTATTCCAAGCTGCCAACCGCTGTTTGCGTAGCTATTTCGCTGAAACTGCTCACTGGGGTTGTTATAACTTGCCTATAACCTTCGAACATTTCGCTGTATCTTCGAAGATAAAAAGATGGACATCCTATAATAATAAAAATGAACATCCTATAATAATGAACATCTCTGACTACCGCTTTTTTATTTGAGGAGCAAAAAGAAGAGAAAATGTTATTCATACAGTGAAGAAATATCAGTATTTCGATGAGATGCTCATCATCAAATCCCTTCTTCTACATTGTTTGATATTGTCTAGATGAACAACCGAAAAAGAACAAAAAGGCGGGAAACGCCGTACTAACAACAATAGTCTCTCTGATATTAGATATTATTAGTTTGAATAGTAATAATAATTAATACATAATTGATTAGTAGTAAATATCATATAGTTGTATCAATAGTAATCAGTAAATCAGCACTTTAATTAATAAATACAAATCAATTTTTCAATGGGTGGATTTTAGTATTTACCTGACGATAAAATTTGTTGGATTTCTTAATTTATTTAATATCGTTTGGATTTAGGTACATTTGTATTTCGCTGTTAAATATTGCTGGTGGAATAAATGAATAAATAATCTTGTTACTTCAACCATAAAAAAAATAATTTACTATTGCATTGTTTCAGTTTTAAACAATATTTGTTATAATTTTGCCAGACTTGAAAGAAACATAGGAAATAAAACGAATCTACGTGACTGTTATCATCAAAACAATGCTCTGATATGACAACATAACCTACTACCGCCGAACCGACAACAGCTCCACTGCTTTGAGAGCGGTCAGATAGGAGCAGCTTAGATATGACTTCATACCTAGACTGCCGAGCAGTTCTAGCGAAATAGATTCCTTTCTATTCCACTAAAGCAGTGGTCAACCGCGAGCAGTCGCGGTCGTGAACCGCGCCAGCGAAATAGTACCTTAACCAGTACGTTAATACATAAACAAAGTACGTTGATCCTGACCTGCTGTCTGTGGAGTCGGGCGAGCAGCAGGCGACGATGGCATATACACACCTGGAAGGCCTCTTCGGTTGGGGTCCAGCGTCGAAGGAACCTCTGTTGAGGACGCTGGTGGTCGTGGTGACGGGAGGCTGCGGCTGGTCTGGGCGCTTGTAGGGGGGTTGGGGATGATAATAGGGTATGTTGCCCGCGGGCTGACAGGTCGGCGACTGCAATACCACGTAGTGGACCACTACCTGATGTACACGATGAATCAGCAACATTGTCATTGAGTTAACAATAATATCATCATAATTGTGGGTAAATGGTTGACTGTCGTGAATAATGAACAGAAGAATAGTTGGGGTGATTAGTCAAATAAGAAGGCAAAAATAAATGATAATATTTATTTTGACATTTGCCGACGTTTTCACCTGAAATTCAGGCCGTCATCAGGGCTAAGAAAAGAACCAGATAACAAGGTATGAGAAACATAAGTAGTGTAGGCAAAAAAAAAAAAATTAAAATACCATTGTTAGAATAATGACAATAGTAAGAACTAAGAGATAAATGATAATAACCGGTACAAAGTGTGGAATGATGAAGTAAATATAATCAAAAAAGGTGACATAAGTATTAAAATAGGAATCTTAGAATAAAATGTAAAACAGAAAAATATGAACTTATGTAAGAAATGGATATAAATAGTAAAATTAAGATATAGTGAATAGAATAGTTAGATAGAAAATTGAGATGTTGTAAAGTCTATCAAGATGTACAGACAACGTATAATATAATAAAGAGTTAAAACACAGAAAAGGAATGAAAGAAAGGAGGAAAGAAACTGAGAAGGCTAAAATAAGAAGGAGAATAAGAAAGAAAAAAATCTGAGCAATGAGCGTGTTAGTCAGGGAGGGGGTGGAGAGAAGGGTTCTTTTCTTAGCCCTGATGACGGCCTGAACTTCAGGTCGAAACGTCGGCAAATGTCAAAATAAATATTATCATTTATGTTTGCCTTTTTATTTGACTGATCACCACAACTATTCTTCTCCTCGATAATATCTTCAGTTTATTGCAAAAAGTCACTTAAAGTAACAGTTTTTTTTTAGTTCTACCAAACGGTATTTTCTCTTCATGTTGCACATGTCATGTCACTAATGTCACATTTACTTGTTGTATTTTTAATGTAATACAGTTGCAAATTTCATTAAAATAAAAAAAAAAGTTTAGAAAATCAAAACACTAAATTTGTTGTATTTAACCAGTGTGAAATCAAAACATCTACATATTTTCTACACTATACAGGGTGTCCCAGTTCGTAATAGCCAAACTCTGGGGGCGAGGGGGAGGGGAGAAAAAAAAGGGTGATTCGAGAAAAAACCTCCATAAAAAAGTGCCAATTCTGAACAGAAAAGGAGTTTATTAACTCCTTTGATATTTTATTAAATATTTATTCCAATTTTGTTAAGGGGGTTACATTTTTTTTTAATAAGAATAAATTTTTCAAAAAATGTTTAATATGATTAAATTGGCTAAGTACATTATCGTAAAGTATAAAAAAATTTCATTGAGAAAATTTCACGAATCGGATTACGGAGATTTGTTGCTCGGATATGAGTACTGTAACTGCAGCAGTGCAGCGGCCGAATTAGACCTACTGAAAGTCCCCTTTATCATTGGCCTTAGTAAATTCAATCACTGTTAATGGACTTTTTTGTAGGAAATATTGTCAAGAATCACCCCCCCCCAGTGTTTGGTCATTAAGAACTGAGACACCCTGTAGAGTAAAATTAATGTTCTAATTGTAAAAAAATTAATTGTAATATAATGATAATAAATTTAAACATCTATACATTTCAAAACTATAACAGCAAAACATTTTTATTTTTTAAAAATAGATTCAAGGCCATTGTCCAGTAATGGTTTATTTCTTTTATAATATAATTTTTGACGACGTATAAGAGATGGAAAATGCTTCGAATCGCATCCAACTCTTGTAAAACAAAAAGAGCAATTGCTGAGGAAGCTGGAGTTCAAACAAAACTAAGGAATATCCAAGGATTATTAAAAAAGTCAAAAACAATAGTTAGAAAAAAAATTGAAAAGAGAGCCAGTTTTGAGCACCCGTCACAAATTAGCCTGGATGGCCTTTGCTCTTAGGAAGTTCTTTATCACCCCTACAAATATTTCTCTATACTTACAGGACACCCTGTATATATATATATATTGTCCTGTATAGTTAACCTTGACAATCGAGAAAATTAAGGAGATCATATAGTCGTTAAAAGATAATAAAACGACGAGGGAAGATGAAATAATAGCTGAAATGTAGAAAGACGCATTGGGAATACATAACTAAAAAGACAGAATTGATGCAGGAAATCTGGGGGAAGGGTGAAATACCAGAATGGAAAATGGCACTAATACATCTGCTACATAAAAAAGGAGCGACAACAGATTCCAATAATTACAGGGGGATTTCTTTACTTCCAGTGACGTACAAAATTTTGTTAAGATCATCAGATGGTAGAATACCAAGGGGGATTTATAAAAGGAAGATCGTGCCCAGGAAAAATACAGAGTCTAAAATTAATCTTGAGGTTCTCCAGCTGATTTTCAGAAAGGCTACGATTCGGTGGATAGAGAAACACTTGTTTGGATACTGAGGGGATACGGATTAGATGA